AATTAAACCTCAAGGCTTTGATGATAAGATTCTCTGTCTGCCTAAATAACCTGTTGTATTGTGACCTCTGAATCATATTTAATATAGGGTATATTATGAAATTCCGTTGTCTGTGCGTCATTTCTTGGGTTATGTCTTGAAAATGATAGAATTCACTACTCAGTAATGAAGACTGATTTAAAATCAATGAATTATTTCCTGAAATAAACAGGTGGTGCCCCTTTTGTTATGCTAATAATTACGAGGTATTTATGATATAATATTGTCCATAACATCGACAACAGCATATCCCCTACACCACAGAGAGACGATCAATCCCAAATCGTACCTTTGGTCACCTCGTACCCAGACTATTCAGGTCTGACAAGAAGCCATCTGCCTCAGGTCCTTCTGTACCCAATTCTGTCTGAGTAGCAAGCAAAGAGACTTTTTATTAAAATAAAGTGATGACTTTAAATAAAATCTGAAAAATCAGCTCCTTTTCCATCCTTGCTTTAATCAAAACCCTTGTTGAACCGAGGATAAACTCAGAAAAGTGAAACTTTTGGGTGTCGTTCTGGCTGCTTGTGTATTATTTTTTTTACTTTCTGGAAGCTTCAGATATGTTTCACATTTGAGGGAAACAGTTGCTTGGCGCTGCTGCAGTTCCCTCGAGTCAATTACTGAGAGATGCTGCGTTGCTCCCACACCAAATCTGTTCCAGTTTTCAGCGAGTGACATCATTTAAAGACACAAAAACAACCTGCTTTTCTCTCTGAGCACCGACGGCTTTAAAGGTTCTTCTTCTACCCTTTTTGTGTACTTTTTCTTAAAACCAAAAGCCAAGAATGATGTTTTCAGTCGTTACAGTAGGTTACTAAATGGGGTCAAATAAAACCAAACGAGCCAGTTTTCTTYTTGTAAAATGACGTGACACACTGGATCAGATTTGTTGGAGTTTACCCTGTCGGTGCTCTTGTTTTGCCTTTTAAATACGTTTTAATCTTGATTACTTCTCTCTGCAACACGTGTTTAATGTTTTACAACCTGCACAACATATTTGTTTTTGCTTTATCTTTTAAATGTGTTGCTTTGACGATGAACTTTACAAACTTTGGTGGAGTCATTTTAGTGCCACATTAAAGTGCCTGTGACGTCAAATTTTTGTAATAATAAGAATGTATTCTTGGAAAGATAACATTGATAAAATATTGCGAAAGAGATTTCACACCGCTGAGATGAACAGTTGTTGAGATATTTGCATGTGAAGTAACAGGAAGTGATGTCAGAGGGGAATGTCTGAACGTGAACAGAGCGTTGTTAATCAGTCAACAACAGTCTGTAGAGAAGAATCTGATGTTTCTTTAGATTATTTTAATCACTATCACAGATGAAGAAGAGCTATAGGTCAAATAATATCGTTTCAATAAAAAAAACAGGAAGTTCTCTTTATCAAAGAATTCCTCTTTGATGTCACTTCCTGTTTCACTTTAGCTGAGCCAAGTTCAAAAGAAAATGTGTCTGTTATGTGACATAACAGGTAAAATCATGTGTATTATCATGCCAAGTTAATTAAATATAAATCTATTTTCTTTGATTATTTTGTATCTCATGGATATGCATGTCACAGGCACTTTAAAGGGATATTTCAGACACTTTGAATTGGGGTTCTGTGTAAAGCTCATTTGTGTATTTATTATCCGTTTGTTTCCCCCCGCTGCAGGAGAGGCTGGTCTTATCAGTGCTGCCACGTTTTGTAGTTTTGGAAATGATCAACGACATGACAAATGTAGAGGACGAACACCTCCAGCATCAGTTCCACAGAATCTACATCCACCGCTACGAGAATGTCAGGTGAGCCGCTTTTATCAGTTTCAAGCCSTTTCTTAAGATTCTCTCAACGTTTCCTGTGATTTTATTTTCACTTCTGTTTYTCTTGAAAATTATCATTACAAAGGTTCAGACCTTCACGTTTCCTCATCTTCATTAATTCATGTAAACTTCATGACTAACCTGGATGAAAAAGTGACATTTCCGTATTTTATTCAGCATTCTTTTCGCAGATGTTAAAGGCTTCACAAACCTCTCCACGACGCTCTCTGCGCAGGAGCTCGTACGAATGTTGAATGAACTCTTTGCTCGTTTCGACCGCCTCGCACACGTAAGTGCACGTGACTGTTTTTTAATCCAACCGTTATTTGTACTGAGTTTGGGACCCAGCTGGGTCCAAGTTTCTATTGTCCCGTTGTTGGACTGAGTTTGTTCTTCTGAATCATTAAATTCACTTTGTTTCTCAACATGATGCTGTTTAGTTTGTTCATGAGGACAGCTGCTTTCATGGTCCTCTCAGTCCATCATATAAAGGTGTCTCAGTGGACAGGGACACTGGTGGACAGAGACACTGTTGGTCAGGAACTCTGGTGGACAGAATCACTGGTGGACAGAGACACTGTTGGTCAGGAACTCTGGTGGACAGAATCACTGGTGGACAGAGACACTGTTGGTCAGGAACTCTGGTGGACAGGGACAC